AATTGAAGAATTCAAAGGTCAGCGACATCAGCCAGATCGATTGGAGAACATCAATTTTGGAGAATGATTTAGCCACTAGCGTTGTCCACAGACTGACACACGTTCTGCCGTCATTCGATTTTTCAGTATCAAGGACCCGTGAAACATGGCTTCTGGCTAAACGTGATAGAGAATTTTTTTTTTAAATTTAGCAATTGGATTTATCCCCTCTTTCAATACCAGAACCCTGTAATAAGGGTTTTCTGCCGAAAAGTCGCTGTCTTTTGGCGCAGAAATATATAACTTTCTCTGTACTCCGTAGGGAGAAAGTAAAAATAGGTACATACTCTATCAAATTCGATTACGGATGTATTATAAAACGTAATGTTATACGTCTTAGAAAAATGTATTCTAAAAAAAGAGCTTACCCACGAAATTGGGCGTTTTGCCTTATGAGATAAGTAGAAAGCTAATCGAGTCCCCGACACATTCATAGGCATTAACATTAATTTCCAATGGTTCTCCAGTCGTCGTAAGACTAGGTGAGTAGTGAAGGTCAGGAAACATCAATGGTTATTAACCCATGAAGAAATGTGTACCAGCAATGCTGTATCGACTGGTTCTACATCAAGAACTTAAAAAATTAAGAGAATTCATCAAATTTTCAACTTTGTCAGATGTACGCCTATAATTTCCCTTTTAAACAGCTGCGAATAATTATTATTCAAAGGTGAATTCATTGAAGGAAGAAAAAAAACGCCCCATTGACTCACCCATGGACCCATAACACTCGTTCTATTATTTGTCACCAACATGGAATAATGAGGTACCTTACGCCAGCCATTTTCACAATTTCGTTTTTTACAATGTCCTTTATCAGCGCTCACAATCAGGGTGGTGAGTGACAAGAAATGTTAAAGACGCAGTAGATGATGACGGAGTAATGATGATGTCTGGAAAAGTATGGAAACCTTCGGAACAATGGTTCGGCATTTGCTGCGAATCCGCTTCCACAAGGCTTAACAGAGTTGTAAGACCGGTACGAGGAGTCTGAAAGCGCGGGCACTACCTACTGGGGTCCAGATCGCTTGAAGTCACCCTCCGCCTCCGAACACGGCTCAACAGATTTCTGCCAAAGTCACGTCTTCCCAGCCTCCTCTAGCGCCGCCCGCGTCATTCGCCATTCCACGCTGCCGCTTGCAGAGCCACGCCCGCAAAAAAGAAAAGCCCGTGCGCCGAATACGCATCTGCGCGCCCGTCGCGTCC